CAGAGTCCCGCTGCTTCGCTCGTCTGAGCGACGCTTGGCGTACAGAGTTTGGCGACGACGCTGAGCTCCCCTCCTGGCTGCAGCTGCTTAGGCAGAGGGTAGATAACTTTGCTCTCGACTATGATGCTATCCTCATTGCCATGTATGCATTGTCTACTAGTGCTGAGGGTGCCTGTCACCTGTGTGTGCCGCCTGACCCCGGTATCCAGTCTGCTGCTCTAGGTGCTGGTGAGGCTGCTGCTCTAGGTGCTGGTGCGTCCCCTGCTCTAGGTGCCGGTGAGGCTGCTCTAGGTGCTCGTGAGTCTACTGCTCCAGGTGCTGGTGAGTCTGCTCTCTCTGGTGCTGCGCCTGCTGCGGTCTTGCACACCTTCACCCTTGACTCGGGTGCTTCCCGCTCCTTCTTTCGAGACCGCACCACACTCACGCCGCTTAGTCGGCTGGTTGCAGTCTCCCTGGTAGACCCCTCTGGGGGTCCTGTCCTTGCCCACTACTCCACTGTCCTACCGTGTCCAGCGGCCCCGTCTGGCTCCCTGTCAGGTCTTTACCTCCCCTCGTTCTCTACGAACCTGGTGAGTGGTGCTGACCTACAGGATGGAGGGGTTGACCAGTTCACTCCTGCGAGTCAGCGAGTGACCCACTGCACGTGTGCTCGGACGGGCCGACACTTGGCCACGTTTACCCGTCAGCCGGGGTCGAGCCTGTACACACTGACTACCGAGTCTCCTCCGGTTACTGCGTCTGGTCAGGTAGCTGCGTCGGGTCAGGTGTTTGCTGCAGCGTCTCGGTCTGGTCCTGAGTCTGCCCCCTGCTCGTGTCGCCTCCTGTCCCACCAGACTCTCCTCTGGCACCACCGCCTTGGGCACCCCTCCCTGCCTCGTCTCCGAGGCATGGCCTCCCGTGTCCTTGTCTCTGGTCTCCCCCGGTCCCTCCCTCCCCTTCCTCCGGGGCCTGCCCCTACCTGCGTTCCCTGCGTCGAGGGGCGGCAGCGCGCCGCTCCTCACTCCTCCGAGTTTCCTCCGACCGAGGCTCCGCTGCAGACTCTCCACATGGACGTGTGGGGCCCAGCCCGCGTCCGTGGACAGGGTCACGAGCGTTACTTCCTACTGGTGGTTGACGACTACTCGCGTTACACCACAGTCTTCCCCTTGCGCCGCAAGGGTGAGGTCACTGAGGTGTTGATCGACTGGATCCGCGCTGCCCGTCTCCAGCTCAGAGAGGGTTTCGGCTCGGACTTCCCTGTTCTGCGTCTGCACTCCGACAGAGGTGGAGAGTTTTCCTCCGACCTTCTGCGAGCCTTCTGTCGTGCGGAGGGCATCCGCCAGACGTTCACGCTTCCGGCCTCTCCACAGCAAAATGGGATTGCTGAGCGCCGCATTGGCATGGTCATGGACATCGCTCGTACGTCCATGATCCATGCGGCTGCTCCCCATTTTCTGTGGCCGTTCGCGGTTCAGTACGCGGCGCATCAGATCAACCTTCAGCCCCGGGTCTCCATGCCGGAGACCTCCCCTACTCTGCGGTGGACGGGGAAGGTTGGCGATGCGTCTGCGTTCCGTGTCTGGGGATCTCGAGCTTTCGTCCGCGACTTGTCTGCGGACAAGCTGTCCTCCCGTGCTGTTCCCTGCGTCTTCCTTGGCTTCCCCCCTGACGCGCCTGGATGGCAGTTTTACCACCCCACCTCGCGCCGTGTTCTGTCCTCCCAGGACGTCACGTTTGACGAGTCGGTTCCTTACTACCGTCTCTTCCCCTACCGCGCTGCCCCCCTCCCCCCCCCACCGCTCTTTCTCGCGCCAGGTCCCCCCCGGTAGACCCCCTCCCCCCTCAGGGTCCTGCCCCCTCAGGTGTGTCCCAGGTAGACGCAGTCGAGCCTGTCGAGGTAGCTGTTGACTCTGGTGCTGCTAGGGGTGCTGAGCCTGCGGGTGCCGGGTCTAGGGGTGCTGAGCCTGAGCGTGCGGAGCCTGGGGGTGCTGAGCCTGGGGGTGCTGAGCCTGGGGTTGCTGAGTCTGGGGGTGCGGAGCCTGAGGGTGCTGAGCCTGCGCGTGTGGAGTCTGGAGGTGCTGAGCCTGGCGGTCCTTCGGGTGCTTCGTCCAGGCGGGAGCCACTCTCTCCACAGCAGCTGCGCGAGTGGTTTGCTCGGCGCTGGAGCCGTGCTGCTGGAGCTGGTGGTCCTGCCGGCGCTGGAGTTTCTACTGCTGCTGGGGGTGCTGGAGCCACGGGTCGCGGAGGTGCTCGTACTGGAGGTACTGGAGCTGCTGGGCCTGGTGGTGCTACTGGTGTTGGAGCTGCTGGCGGTGCTGGAGCTGGCGGTGCTGCTGGAGTAGGTGCTGCTGGAGGTACTGGAGCCGGAGCTGCTGCGTCTTCCGGTGGTCCTGCTGGAGCTGGAGCTGCAGGAGGTGCTGGAGCTGGAGGTGCTGCTGGAGCCGGTGCTGCTGTGGGCGCTGGAGTTGGCGCTTCTGGAGCAGCTGGTGGTGCTGCTAGAGTTGGTGGCGCTACTGGAGTCGGAGCTGACGCTGGGGGTGCTGGTGCTGGTTCTGGAGGTGCTGCGCGACCACGGCCGTACTTCGTTCCGCTCCTTGAGCAGGTTCTTGGTCTTCCGCCTTCTACTGGTCCTCCTCCTTCCTTAGAGTGTCCACCGCCTGTCCAGTCCGAGTCACAGTTACAGCTGGCCTCCCCACTGCCTGCTCCTTCTCCCTACACTGGTCCTACTGGAGGTCTTGCTGAGCGTCGTGAGCCTGAGTCTCGTCTTGCGTTGCCTGTTCGTGCTACTCGCACTGGTCGTCGTGTTCCGCGTCAGCGTCCTCCTGCGGTCCCGGGCATGCACCGGATGGCACTGCGTCCTTCCACTGCTCCACAGCGTGTCCCTTTGCCGTCTCCTCCAGAGTCCTCTCTTCCTTCTCTTGCTGACCCGGAGTCTGACTCCCTTCGTGCTGCCAGTCCTACTGTCACGCGTCTCCTGGCTACTGTTGTCACTGACCCTTCCTTTGAGTCCACTGCTGCGTCTGCCTTAGTTGCTGAGCTTGTCGACTTCGCTGCTCACTGTCGTCTAGACTACGCCGCCAGTCTTGTTGCTGAGTCTGAGTCTGTCTGTCCTCCGTCCGTCGAGGGTGAGTGTGCTCTTAGCACGGACGTCCTTGAGGACAGGCAGGAGGAGTTCCAGTGTCTTGCTGCTGCTTTCCCTCATCTTGTGTCCATGCTAGTTGCCCCTGAGGGAGACCCGGATGCACCAGACATCCCGACCCCGCGCTCTTACGCAGAGGCGATAGAGGGTCCCTACTCCTCTCAGTGGCAGTCAGCCATGGACGCAGAGATGGCTTCCTGGAAGTCCACAGGCACCTACGTCGACGAGGTTCCCCCACCTGGGGCGAACATTGTCAGTGGCATGTGTATTTTCAGGGTGAAGCGGCCGCCGGGTTCTCCGCCTGTCTTCAAGGCGCGCTACGTGGCTCGAGGCTTCAGTCAGCGGCAGGGAGTTGACTACTTTCAGACCTTCTCTCCCACCCGGAAGATGACCACTCTTCGGGTGCTGCTGCACATAGCCGCTCAGCGCGACTACGAGCTTCACTCTCTTGACTTCAGCACTGCTTTCCTACAGGGCAGCCTACACGAGGAGATCTGGCTGCGCCGCCCACCTGGCTTCACTGGGTCGTTTCCTTCTGGTACCCAGTGGAGCCTCCGGCGGCCAGTCTACGGTCTCCGCCAGGCGCCCCGTGAGTGGCACGACACACTGAGGACTACGCTTGCGGCTCTTGGGTTTGCTCCTTCCACTGCTGATCCGTCGCTGTTTCTACGCACCGACACCTCTTTGCCGCCGTTCTACATCCTCGTGTACGTCGACGACTTGGTCTTTGCTACTGCTGACACTGCTGGACTCGCCCACGTGAAGTCCGAGCTGCAGAAGAGACACACGTGCACAGACCTGGGTGAACTGCGCAGCTATCTTGGCTTGCAGATCACCCGGGACAGAGCACGGCGCACCATTACCTTGACTCAGTCACACATGGTGCAGCAGGTCCTTCAGCGCTTTGACTTCACGTACTCCTCGCCTCAGGCCACTCCTCTATCTACTCGCCACTCGCTCTCAGCTCTGCCTTCGGATGAGTCCGTAGAGCCGAGTGGCCCGTACCCAGAGCTTGTTGGCTGCCTCATGTACCTGATGACCTGCACTCGACCTGACCTGGCATACCCTCTTAGCATCTTGGCATGCTATGTTGCTCCTGGGAGACACCGACCAGAGCACATGGCTGCAGCGAAGAGGGTGTTGCGCGACTTGTGCAGTACGTCGGGCATGGGGCTAGTGCTTGGAGGGCGGAGTCCAGTGGTCCTCACTGGTCACGCAGACGCGTCTTGGGTTGACGACTTGGCTACGCAGCGGTCGTCACAAGGTTACACCTTCAGCCTTGGTTCCGGCTCTGTTTCGTGGCGGTCTACCCGCTCGTCTTCTGTTCTCAGCTCTAGCTGTGAGGCTGAGATCTACGCTGGGGCCATGGCTGCACAGGAGTTACGCTGGCTCACCTACCTGCTGACTGACCTGGGAGAGCCGCCTCGTTCTCCTCCAGTTCTGTACGTAGACAACAAGGCCATGCTGGCCTTGTGTCGGGAGCACAGACTGGAGCACAGAACAAAGCACATTGCTCTTCGGTACTTCCTTGCTCGTGAGCTGCAGCAGCGTGGTCAGTTGCGCCTTGCTTACGTGGCCTCTCGAGCCAACACTGCTGATATCTTCACCAAGGCACTTCAGCCTTGTGATCATCAGCGCTTCTGTACTATGTTAGGTCTTGTACCTACCTGGCCTCACTTGCTTACCTCTTGACTTTGCTTTGTACTGTGATCTATATATACCTGCACCTGCATGTTTACCTTTATATATAATCCTGCATGTGAACTGGCCTTGTGGCCTTTGCACTTGTGCTCGGAATGTGTGGTGACGTTGTGATCCACCCTGAGCTTGCTGTGCTTTGCTTGGCTGGTCATGTGACCTCTTGTTCTCCCCCACTTTGCCTATGGGGGTGTGTGAAACATTTATCATATAGCTTGTCTAGGCTGTTACAATACTAAGTTAACTAGAGTACGGGTTTAACTAAGGGGCCTAGGCTTAGTAGCCTAGGCCAAGCGGGTGTCGAGCAGTTTGTGCCAAGAGAAAGTGAGAATGTGTGTTGTTCACTATAGCACACAAGGTACATATAGCAAACTAGCAAAGGTGCACCACCAACAAGGAAACATAACTACACTAGAGCTAAAGCTATAGGCAGTTATAAACATATATAAATATATATCGCGACACACCCCCTTAACTGCCTGCAGCACATAGCTAGAGTAAGTCACACCCCCTGAAGGGGTATTGCAGTCGTTGTGAAAGACGGTAGAGAGGTAAGTGAGGAGGAGGAGGCGAGAGAGAGACAGGGGAGGAGAGGAGATAAGAACAAAGGAGGAGGTGAGTGAGGGATGAGGAGAGGAGGTGGGGGGGTGGCTGCGGCGTCCCCTCTTACTAACCCCCTTTTACACAGGGGGGTTGAGTGGGGGATGAGGAGTGGAGGTGGGGGGGTGGCCGCAGCGTCCCCTCTTACTAACCCCCACATCCCCACCCCCAATCAACCAACCCCCTATAACCTCACCCCCCATTTCAACCGCCCCCTGGAACCGCACTCCCTCCCTCCTTTTCTTCCTCCAGACCCCTCCCCACCCACGATGGTACCTGTCCAGTTCTTCACAGGTGGGGCTGCTGGTCACAGGTGGGGCTGCTGGTCACAGGTGGGGCTGCTGGTCACAGGTGGGGCTGCTGGTCACAGGCTGCTGGTCACAGGCTGCTGGTCACGGGTGGGGCTGCTGGTCACGGGTGGGGCTGCTGGTCACAGGTGGGGCTGCTGGTCACAGGTGCCTGGTGCTGGCGGCTGGCGCTGGTGCTGGTGCCTGGTGCTGGCGGCTGGCGCTGGTGCTGGTGTCTGATGCTGGTGGCTGGCGCTGGCGCTGGTGCCTGGTGCTGGCGGCTGGCGCTGGTGCTGGTGCCTGGTGCTGGCGGCTGGGGCTGGTGCCTGGTGCTGGCGGCTGGCGCTGGTGCTGGTGCCTGGTGCTGGCGGCTGGCGCTGGTGCTGGTGCCTGGTGCTGGCGGCTGGCGTTGGTGCTGGTGCCTGGTGCTGGCGGCTGGTGCTGGAGCTGGTGCCTGGTGCTGGCGGCTGGCGCTGGTGCTGGTGCCTGGTGCTGGCGGCTGGCGCTGGTGCTGGTGCCTGGTGCTGGCGGCTGGGGCTGGTGCCTGGTGCTGGCGGCTGGCGCTGGTGCTGGTGCCTGGTGCTGGCGGCTGGCGCTGGTGCTGGTGCCTGGTGCTGGCGGCTGGTGCCTGGTGCTGGCGGCTGGCACTGGCGCTGGTGCCTGGTGCTGGCGGCTGGCGCTGGTGCCTGGTGCTGGCGGCTGGCGCTGGTGCTGTTCCGCCGCCACTCCCTTCCCCTCCTCTCTCTCCTTTCCACAGCGTCCCGCCGCCACTCCCTTCCCCTCCTCCCTCTCCTCCCCATGGCGACTGCCACTGCACACGCAAACAGTCGCGACGGGGGGGGTGACGGGCAGGGGGCGGGGGGAATGCGACGGGCAGAGCGGGCGAATGAGCGGCTGGGGCGATCGCCGGTGCTCTGGCGATCGTCGCTGGCGTTCCCCCGTCACTCCTATCCCCTCTTCCCTCTCGCCCCCACAGAGTTCCGCCGCCACTCCCATCCCTTCTTCCCTCTCCCCCTCACAGCGACCGCCGGGGCGACGGGCGAGGTGCAGGGTGGCGCTGGCTGCAGTCGATGGCGCAAACGCGATCGCGGGCCGCTGGCGACTTCGCTGGCGACTTCGCTGGCGGGTCGCTGGCGGCGGGTCCGCTGGCGTTCGCCATAGCGTCCGCCGCGCCCGTCGCGCTGAGAGCCGCGACGAGGCAGGCGACAACGATGCGACGGGCAGGCGACGAGGGGCAGCGCGAGCAGCAGGGAAAAAAAAATACGCAAGGTGCGGATTTCGCGCCACTAACTGTAGCAGTCGCGAAATGTGGTGGGCCCATAAACGAAATAGGTCCTAGGACGGACCACTCTGTTACCATGTTACAATACTAAGTTAACTAGAGTACGGGTTTAACTAAGGGGCCTAGGCTTAGTAGCCTAGGCCAAGCGGGTGTCGAGCAGTTTGTGCCAAGAGAAAGTGAGAACTTGTGTTGTTCACTATAGCACACAAGGTACATATAGCAAACTAGCAAAGGTGCACCACCAACAAGGAAACATAACTACACTAGAGCTAAAGCTACAGACAGCTATAAACATATATAAATATATATCGCGACATAGGCTATAGTGGGGTAGATACTAAGGGGTACAGTTTCCTAGGGTTTCCTACTTGTACCCAACCTTGTTCTAGTTCATCCATTCCTCTTTCTTCACATGTTGTTGTAGCGCCGTTGAGTGTGGAATGCGAATTCGGGCACTGATGCCTTCCTCTTGTGTCGTTCTTCTTGCAGGTCCATATCTTGTTGCTCGGCGTGGATCTCGGCGCAGAGTGCTACTTCTGATATTTTTCCATGAGCTTGGAGTATGGCGCGAGTGGAGCGCCACTGAGAACCGAGGCCGCCGATGATGAATGTGACGAAGGCGTCTTCTGAAATCGACCCTCCGCATCGAAAGAGTTTGTCGCGCAGTTCGCGACAGCGGCTGATATACGCCATCCCCTTTTCGCTTGGTTTCATTTCGACTGTTGTCAGTTGCGCCATTAACCGACTTTGATTGACGCTGTCTGTTGCTCGATACAGGTTCTTCAGGTGGTTGTACGAAGAGTTGCCGTATCCCCGGTAAGACCGTATATTCTGCTGCTGATTTGAAGTGATGTTTTTCAGTAGAATTGTGTACGCCATCATTGACTGATACGTGTACTGCTGCTTGTCGTACTGTGTGCCGTGTATTGGGTATGGTAGGGACCCGTCGAAGAAGCCAAGGATCTGCGCGCCTTCCATCATCAGCTCGAACTCGAATGACCAGGTAAAGAAGTCATTTCCGTCGAAAGGCTTTGTCGTTTGCACTTTTAAGACGTGCGCAAACTGCGACTGAACTTGAAGTGCGTCCAGTGTCTTCTCTTGTCCAGGTGCAGGCTGCGGGCATAAAGCTGATGGAGCCGCGCTGGGGCTCGTACGGAGCGAAGGTAGGCTGCTGCTGTTGATTTCCGCGCGCGTAAGACGAGCCATCGAGACTCATGGGTGTCACGTCGTTGTTGTTATTGCTGTTGTTTGACTGCGCAGGTGCCCCTTGCTGGTGTTGTTCATAGAAGGACATGAAGGAGAAGAACTTCTCCATCATGCTTGGGTCGAAGCCCGCGGCTTGGTTTGCGGGAGCTTCGGTAGATGTTGCCCTTGGTCTTGTTGCCGTACCCTCCTCTGTCTGTAGGCCAGAGGCAGGAGGTGGAGTAGGAGTAGTACCGGGAGAGCCGTTAGAGGAGCTTCTCTCCTTCTGCGTTGCCATGCCTTGTGACGTTGTGGGTGTCTTGATTGTAGTTGAATTTGTCCTGATAGCTCTCATACCATGTTGGGCTGAGAAAAGCCCTTAGGATCTTTGCAGGACTAAATTCCTGGTAAGACTGATGTAATAGCGGAAGCGTTTAATGAAAGGTTGTGAACCACCTTGCGCTGGTATGTGAGGGCAAAGTCGATTGATTAAGACAAAGAGATACAAGCTTTTATAAGAGTACAAGGAATACGAAGATATACAGTTAATAACCGTTTTGCTGTTGCTGTTGCGGTTCGATACAGTGACGACTCGGGCAACTGCTCAATAGCGAGTCAGTTGTTTGTCCTTACTGTCGCGCTGTACTTGTCAGGTCAAAGGTCGCTGACCTTTGACTTTCGCGTAACCTCCAGTAGTTGCTCAACCTCCGAGGGTTGACTCGCTGATGCTTCGATATGTTTCGCTTCGCTTCTGACTTGGTGTTTCGACACGACAGAGGCGTTTAAGTTACTTGTTTCCAACAGCACTTACGGTATACCGTATGCCCCCTCCGGATTGTAGCGCAGGTGCGCTTATAATAAAATAATTTGTTTTGTTGGAAACATATGGTTCGCGCTTTTGATGTGTCGAGCACTACAACGCAAGCGAAGCAAACTACAGCGAAGTAACAGCGAGTCAACCAAAGTGGTTGACAGAAAGACAACAGCAAGAGGTTGAGTGAAGGTCAAAAGTCTGCGACCTTTGACTCGCCGAAAAGCAGCGCGACAGCAAGGACACATAACTGACTCGTTATTGAGCAGTTACCCGAGTCGTCGCTGTATCGAACCGCAACAGCAGTTACTGTTTGTTAAACCTTTCATGTTCCTTTGTAATCATATAAAGCGTTGTATCTCTTTGCTATTATCAACTTATCTTGTTCTCACATATCAGTGCAAGGTGGTTCAACCAGTTCACTAATACGCTTCCGCTAATACATCATTGCTCTGAGCCTTTAGTCTTGAAAACGATCCTAAGGGCCTTTCTCTGCCCAACATGGTATGAGAGATAGCAAGACAAAAGACAACTCTGTTCAAACTCCTACAACAATAGAAGGCATGGCAACGCAAAAAGAAAGAAGCTCGTCTACTGGATCTCTCGGCACTACTCCTACTCCACCACCAGCCTCTGGACTGCAGACAGAGGGAGGCACAACTCAAAGACCAGCTGCTGAGTCTACTGAAACTCTTGCGAATCAAGCAATCGGCTTCGACCCAAGCATGATGGAGAAGTTCTTCTCCTTCATGTCATTCTACGAGCAACATCAACAAGCGGCACCTGCGCAGTCCATCAACAGCGACAACAATAACGGGGTCACTTCCATGAGTCTTGACGGCTCATCTTTTGCGCGCGGAAATCAACAGCCTACCTTCGCACCGTATGAGCCTCAACGCAGCTCCGTCAGCTTCATGCTGAATCGACTCCCACCTGGAGAAGAGACGAAGACCCTGGATGCACTTCAGTTGCAGTCACAATTCGCACACGTGCTGAAATTGCAAACATCAACACCATTTGACAAGAATGACTTCTATACCTGGTCTTTCGAATTCGAGCTGATGATGGAAGGCGCTCAAATTCTTGGCTTCTTCGACAGTTCCCTGCCATATCCAACGCACGGGACGTAGTATGACAAGCAGCAGTACACGTATCAGTCACTAATGGCGTACACCATACTCCTGCGAAACATAATGGCAAATGATCAGCAGAACATCCGGTCTTATCCCGGATACAGAAACTCCGCCAAACTCGAGTACAACCATCTGAAGAACCTGTATCAAGCAACCGACAGCGTTAATCAAAGCCGTCTAATGGCGCAATTGACAATGGTCCAAATGAAACCCGGCGAAAAGGAATGGCATATATCAGTCGCTGTCACGGCCTGCGCGATAGACTCCTTCGATGCGGCGGATCAATATCTGAAGAGGCTTTCGTCACTGTCATCATCACAGGCCTCGGTCCTCAGTGGCACTCCACCCAGGCCATCCTTCGAGCCCATGGAAGAATCTCCGAAGCAAACCTCTAAGCCGAAATTCACGCCGAACAACAAGACATGGATCTGCATGAAGAACATCACAAGACAAGGGCATCAGCACCAAAATTCGCTTTTCACACTCAACGGCGCTACAACAACAGCAACCGACAGAACGAGGTTAAGGACGAAGACACGTACCACCATTCTGCCATCTTTGTCAAACGTCTGGCCACTCCCGTATTCACTGCCCAAATCAACAGCAATCGACACCACCACCACGTCAACTTCGACCTTCAAGTAGCCAAGTGGCTTCCACACAGCCGCATCCTTCCAACCAGGCGCCGCGTTCAACAACAACATCACAACCTGCACGAGGAACAAGAAATATCATAAGTTGCATGACAAAAACGTACTCCTGCATCACCGGTTCTCCACCGACCTACTCACCAGAAGAACAGCTCGGCGAAAGCACGCCCCGTCGTGAATCGCTGGAACCAAATCCAACGTATGCCGCTATCGCAGAGAGCGAACCATCCGGTCAAGATACTTGGTTCTTGGACAGCTGCTGCGGACAACACATGTGCTCATCAAACCGCTTCGTTCAACGGGAACAACGCCTCAACCGGGAAGTCGTGATCACCGTCGCCAACAACCAGAACCTGCGCACACAACAACAAGGAATAGTTCAACTTCAGTCCCGTGAGACTAACGTCGTTATATAGATGTCAAAGGTTTTGATTGCAGAAGGACTGGGCTACAACTTACTCAGCGTCAGTCAACTTATGGCAAAAGGAATACATCTCGAAGCCGACATTACCACTCAAGAATTCAAGCTGTACAATGGGAAGGGTGGACTTTACATCGGGCTGTAGTCAAGCGCTACTCCTCCCCCTCTACTGCTGCCCTAGGCCGTCTCATGCTGCCGTAACTCTTTTCTGAGCTGTCTGACTTCCCCACGTCGCTGATCTTATGAACCACCTACGCTTTAGTGACACTCGCTACCGCGCTGCTCTCAAGCCGGCTTTTTTAACTGGGAACCCGCCCCTGATGTACATCACTCTCTACTTTCTCACAACTCGCCTCCCTGACTCTCTCCGTGTCCTTAGGGACCACTTCCTCTCGCTCGACCCCACTGAGCTCACCCTTGCCTCGTTTGAGACTCGTCTTCTAGAGGCTGAGACCAGTGCCCACGCTGTTGCTGCATCCCGTGGCACCCCCCTCCCCTCATTTTTTTAGGGGTGTTCCCCCTCCCTCCTCCCGCCCTCTATTGCCTCTGGTGCTGATGTTGACTTCCTTCGTGCTGAGGAGGTCGGAGTTGCGTCTGCTCGTAGTGGGAGGCGCCGCAGTGGCAAGGGCAAGGGGGGTAAGGGTGGTGGGGGTGGCGCTGGCAGGGGTGGTGGCGGTGATGGTGGAGGGGGTGGAGGAGGTGGTGGCGGCGGTGGAGGTGGCAGGGCGGAGAGGGCTCAGGTGGCGGTCGCGGTGGAGCTGGGTGGAGGCTCTGGGGCGGCGTCTGGGGGTGCAGCTCGTGGCGGCGGAGGCTCTGGGGGTGGACAGCAGCAGCAGTCACGACGGCAGGAGACTCTCTTGCCCTAGCAGCTTCGTGAGTGAATGTCCAGCGTGGCTCCTCTGGGGGTAGTGGTCGTTGCCCGTGCGTCA